AAAGTGATTGTGTTGATTCCTGTTTGAAAGAAGACCAATAGCGCAACTAGTAGGACTTCTCTTAGTAAACCAATAGGTCTGCTTTAAGAAATCTAAATAATCTTCTTGTGGAAAGAACCAATAGGTATTTATAATGGAGGGTGGTTAGGTTAGAAGGCACGCTAGAGGACCAATAGGGGTCGTCTTCTTATTTAAACTCAAATAGGTCATCTAAAGAATAGCGTTTTTATTCCCTTCAAATGGGGCACTTTTTAATAATGAACCACCATGGGTTTCAGTTTTGACAAAACACAAATAGGTAGGTCTCCTCTTAGTAGACCGACAAGTTTACTTTTAGAAGGCCAATATAATTTCTTCTAGACAAACCTAATAGGTCTTAATTTCTGGCTTTCTTGTCTTTTTCTGGCTAGAAGTCGAATTCTGTATAGAAGAAATAAATTTAGCCTGGCTGAATTAAAAAATGTCTATAGTAAAATCGAAACCGCCTTTGCTGAATTTATTTGTTCTGGATTGAAATCGAATTCAGCTTTGCCAAATTACACTTTACTATAGAAAATTTAAATTTATATTTGCTGAATCTATGTTTACCTATGAAAAATCAATTTCAGCCAATCAAAATTTAAATTTTCTATATAATAAATAGTTTAAAATTAATTTTAGCTTTGTTGAATTAAATATGTATATAGTAAAATCGAGTTTAGCTTTGCTGAATTTAATTTTTCTGGCTTGAAGTCGAATTCTCTATAGAAAAATTAAATTTAACGTGGCTGAATTTGATTTCTCTAAAGTAAAATCGAATTTAGCTTTGCTGAATTTAAGTTGTCTGTATTGAAATCGTATTAAGTTTTGCTGAATTACATTTTGCAATAGAACAATTAAATTTATAATAGCTGAATAAACGTTTAATTATGAAAAATCGAGTTCAGTTCGGTTCAATTACATTTATCTATAGAAAAATTAAATTAAGCGTGGCTGAATTTCATTTCTCTGTAGTAAAATCGAATTTAGCTTTGCTGAATTTAATTTTTCCGTATTAAAATCGAATTTAGCTTCGCTAAATTACACTTTACTATAGAAAAATTAAATTTTTTAATCGCTGAATAAATGTTTAGCTATGAAAAATCGAGTTCAGTTTGGTTCAATAAAATTTTTCTATAGAAAAATTATCAATTCCGCCTGAGTCTGAATAAAATTTTGCTATTGAAAAATTCGAATTCACCATGTATTGGTTTTTATTGATTCTAATAGAAAGGCTAAGGAAAAAGTTGGTTACAAAACAAATTTGAAAAAAAATTAATTCAAAAAAATTTTTTATATACAAATCTTTTTTCTGTTATAAGTTATAATATTTAATAGAATTTTTCTATATATCGAACAAAAAACAAATAATGTAATTGATATTCTTCCTGTTGCTCTCTTCTTTTTTCTCTTTCTTCCTTATAATTAACAATAAATGTTGTGTATAATAAGAAAAAAAAACAAAATAAAATTTTACAATAGTAGCTTGCATTTGAAACGTGAATATTTGGAATACAACGCACAATTTATATACAATATATATACATATATATGAAAATACTATTATTAAAAAAGTAAATAAACCATACATATTAACAATTTTATACGAAAACGATGATGTAGTTAAAAAATGTTCATAATAAGTAAATGCATAAACGTATTGGATTAAATATAGAAAAATAAAAAAAACAAATTTTTAAAGTGCCCTGTAAAAAAAATTAATTTAAAAACAATTTTATATATATAAATAAAATATATAGTTTGGCTTTATTCAAATCTGTAGTTATTCTTTAATTATACATATACATGCATATATAAATATATTAGATATTTGTGTATTATAAATTAATATAGTTAATTTTTTTTCTATTGAACCTAATATTACAAAAAACGAAAGAAAAATCTTTTAATGAAAACGAAAATATCCAAAAATCCAAAACTTCCCCATTTAAAACCCCGTTTAAAAAATTAATTCACCCTCCCCCTCAAACATTGTATTAGCAACCAACGAAATAAAGTTCTAAACAAATAACAGTATTGTTACTGATACTTTTTTTAAAAAACAATTAATTTAGAAAATAAAATACATACCAATCAACCAACACACATACATTAATTAAAATCGATTCATTGTGTGGTGGCAACAATTTAAATATATACAAAAATAAATAAATTAAAAAAAACACACACAACAAACTGTATATCATCCTCTCTTTTTTAGATCATTTATTTGATCACAATCTATATATACATACATATATATATTAACGGTAACAATTTTATATGATATAAAAGTAATTTAAAAATAAATCACATACACACAAATAAATAAATAAAAAAGAGAAAAGCCTGTTAAACGTAAAGTATCTGTATTAAATAAACAATATTCCGTTTATATATAAATAAATAAACTATCGTAATATAACAAAAAAAAATAAAATACTAAACAAAAATCTAGAAATTTTCAAAAATAAAAGTAATGAAATAAAAAACAAATAATAATAAAATAGTTTTATTTTCTTCTTTATATCTCCTTCCATTTTTAATATTTTTTTTTTTTTTTTTTTTTTTTTGTATACTAAAATCTTTTTTTTTTCTACTTTGTAATTATTTAAGCTAGTATTTTTTTTCATTTAATTTTTATAAAACAATCATACACACACATGTAAGTTTTGTAAATTATAAGGATAACAACGCAACATTATACACATTAAATATATATATTTTTTTTGTTAAATATATTCGTTATTTTAAAAATTGTTTTGTTTTTTTTTGTCTTCTTTTTTGCGGGGTTAAAAGAGTTTTGTGAAAAAAAATAGGAATTTGTTGACGGTTTCCAAAATTATTTTAAACTAGAGGTTTTTAAGAGGTCATTCCGTTACAGAAAAAATTTTTTCCCACAAAAAAAATTCGATATCGGACTACTTTTTTGAGTGTTTCCAAAATTCTTTTAAACTAGAATATTTTTAAGAGGTCATTCTGTTTTAGAATAAATTTCTCCCCACCAAAAATTTTCGATATCGGCCTACTTTTTAGAGTAGCCTCCATATAACGGTATTTCCCAGTATTCGGTATTTCATGAAGTTTACCACGGTTTGGGCACGATTTTCAATAAAATTGACTATTATTTTGTATTTTCAATGCTTATTGGATAGCAAATTTCCCTAACAAAAATTATAGATATCAGTTCACTTTTTAGAGTAGCTCCCATATAACGGTATTCCCGATTATTCTGTATTTTTGAGAGTTTGACTACGTTTTGTATATCAGGACTCCCCACCAAAATTTTTTTTTGGTGGTGTTTTCTCATTGGTGTTAGCATATCTCCCTACCAAAAATCATCGATATCGGTTCCCTTTTTTTCAAATAACCTCCCATATAACGGGAAGGGAAAACAAATTTACTCGATATTTTTAATATCCTGGAACTTCCACATAATGCTAATTTTCTCGCATATAACATAAATTTATATACTCATTGTCAATATAGAATAAAACTTTAGAATTTCCTCGAATCATTTTTGCAAAATTTATTAAAATCGGTTAAATAGTCGCTAAGTTATTCGAATTTTAATTTAATGATGTTCCGAAATATACTTACTGTTCGGTGCTGGGCACCTGTTATCTGAAAATGAAAAACCACACAAAAATAGATTTTTAAAAGGCCAACTTTTTTATTATTGTTCATTCACAATGGTTGCTGGTTTGTATAGAAAATTATAGCATACTTTTAGGCGAAACACAGTCTTCATGTAGTCGGATTTTAAAATTGATAGATGATTGTTTTTATGCTCAGATTTTAGAAGATCAGAAGGTATTCTTCTATAGACGACCAGTAGTTCTTGTTCTATAGAAGAGCAGAGGGTCTTCTTCTTTAGAAGACCAGAAGGCCTTCTTCTTTAGAAGACCAGAAAATCTTCTTCTTTAGAAGACTAGAAGGTCTTCTTCTTTAGAAGACCAAAAGGTCTTCCTCTTTAGAAGACCAAAAGGTCTTCTTCTTTAGAAGACCAAAAGGTCTTCTTCTTTAGAAGACCAGAAGGTCTTCTTCTTTAGAAGACCAGAAGGTCTTCTTCTTTAGAAGACCAGAAGGTCTTCTTCTTTAGAAGACCAGAAGGTCTTCTTCTTTAGAAGACCAGAAGGTCTTCTTCTTTAGAAGACCAGAAGGTCTACTTCTTTAGAAGAACAGAAGGTTTTCTTCTTTAGAAGACCAGAAGGTCTTCTTTTTTAAAAGACCAAAAGGTCTTCTTTTTTAGAAGACCAGAAGGTCTTCTTCTTTAGAAGACCAGAAGGTCTTCTTCTTTAGAAGACCAGAAGGTCTTCTTCCTTAGAAGACCAGAAGGTCTTCTTCTTTAGAAGACCAGAAGGTATTCTTCTTTAGAAGGCCAAAAGGTCTTCTTCTTTAGAAGACCAGAAGGTCTTTTTTAAAAGACCAGAAGGTCTTCTTCTTTAGAAGGCCAAAAAAACTTCTTCTCTAGAAGAAAATAAATTCTTATTCTTTACAAGACCAGAAAGTCTTCTTCTCTTGAAAATTAGAAGGTATTCTATATAGAAGGTCTTCATTTATAGTTCTTCTTTTATAGAAGACCAGAAGGCATTTTTCTGTAGAAGACCAGAATATCTTCTTCTATAGAATACCACAAAGCCTTCTTCCATAGAAACCTCGAAGATCTTCTGCGACAGAAGACCAGAAGAATTTTTCACAATACAATACCTTCGCCTAAAGGGGGTTTCCCATAAATGATATAAGGAGGACCTCTTTCATCCAAAATCCAGCATCATCTCTTGTAGAAAATCCTAAGCTATTGCATTTTCAGGAAATACTTAATTCCTTTAAATAAAATTTTAAAATAGTTTTTATTTGTTTATAATAATTAAAATCATTTCAAAAAAATCGTCTATTTATTTAATAAATATATATGTACATACATATGTATAAAATAATATACATCAAAAAAATCTTATTATTTTTCTCTGTATTCCACCTTAAAGCCATACATCAAGTCTGTATTTCCCCTTTGCCTTATAATCTTTTAACAATTCTGTAGCCTCCGTTTCGGAAATTTGTAATTTTTCTTGGAAAATTTCCAATAAACATTTTTCTATACTCTTTGATATTTCACCACCATCAGCACATAAATATAGCGCCGTATTGGGATTTGATAACAACTCCACAATGCTATCGCCATGATGATGCAAAGCATCCTGAACATATTTGTAATCACTGGCCGAAGAACGTGAATAAGCCTCTACGAATTTGTTCAGGACATTTTTGTCTTGCCAATTTAGCAGTTGATCTCTGTGCAAGATGGCTTCTTGACTTGTGGCGCCAACAAATAACCAAGTCTGCCCACCAGCTGCTTTCGTTTCTTGCTTGCTCAGATGTTCCTTGTGTTGTAGAAAACCCAAAAATGGTGCCATCGCCGTGCCAATTGCAATTAGTATTTGATTTTTCTCGAAATCTTCTTCGGTGGTGTAACGGAATGCATTCGATTGCCTTAAATACATTACGATTGAGGGATGCTCTTCCTGCAGTTTGTCCATAAGGAATTGAGTTGTTACACCGGGTTTATCACAAAGTGTGGAGAAAATAATTTGTATCTCCTTCGCATTCTCCAGCTGGCTATTTGCAATGGAATATGGTCGGGGTAGTAGTCGGGGTAAATGTTCAATTAGCAAGGCCAGAGGTGGTCGACACGAGTGACACACTTCCAAAATATCGAGTAGAGTAAAACCTTTTTCCATTATTAAATCATTGTACTGGGATGAAGCCTCCTTGGAAGATAGAGATTTAAGAAATTGCACTTCATCATTATCACTGCAATAATTGGCCAAACTGCTTAATAATTGTTTCTTCAGAACACCACGAATGTTAATGCAATCCCTTAGTAGTTCTCTTGGTGTACTTGTGGTGGGGATATGTGCAGGGACCTTTACGGTTTTCTTTGTACACAAGGGAGAGACTTTAATGTGGCATGTGAGATCAGCTTTGTCACTCAAATCCAAAGCGTATAATAAACTTTCAACTTCTTTGCGGGGATTACGTGGTAAAATGGCTATCGTATCACCAGGTTGCCAAGTTATGCCGGTATCCGCAACATTTAGTGTAATTTCCGTAATAGATTTATTGATATTCTCATCTGCATTCGATTCAAGTAATAATTTACTGCCTTTTATGGGAACTTCAAATAGTGGAGATGCTGCAAAGGGATAGATTAAAGCTGGACATTTTTGTTGACCATGCTCCTTTGTTGTTGGTAACTACGATAAAAGGAGAACAAGAAAAGAAAAATATATTACTGAGACGGATTGGGAATACATCTGCAAAAAAACGGATATGATTGAAGGTATGGAACCTAAAAAATTAATATGCTCTGGGAAATCAGCAAAAGAAAGGTTGTATGCTTTTTAAATGGACATTTGAAGGGAGCATCGGAAATGCTTTTGGAAAGAACATCGAAATTATTTCTAGTCGAATATTCCATAAAACGTTTAAACCGTCAAAGATACTGAAAACCCCAAGATTTAAATCGTATATGACAATTAAATACACACATTAGATTGGGTCCACAGTGGGAAAAACGATCAGTGATACAACCTTTTGTGTGTAGATGTTTGACAAGGGCATTGAACATCTGTCTGAAATTCCCACAGGCTAGAATATAAATATAAAAATGAAAAGGTAAAATTTGTACTGGGTCCACTGTGGTAGCTTGGTCAGAAAAAAGAAATTTCGCGGACATTCTTCGAAAGGGCATCAAAAATACTTTTAGGTGAAAATTTTTCTAAAGGTGTGATCCCTTCTGAGATTCCGATACTATCATGATTTAAATCGAATTTAACCATGCAAAGGTCTAATTGCTTTGGGCCCACAGTGAGGAAAATTGTCAATGGATACAACCGTTTCGTATACATATTTAACAAGAGCATTGAAAATACTCCCAGACCAATATTTTTTCAGAAGATATACCCAGCCTACTGAGATTTCCACTGGGGCCTTGCTTAGATTTAATATGACCATAAAATAGGTAAATTTTGTTTAGGGTCCACTGTGATAACTTGGTCAGAGATACAAGATTTTCGGATTGTTTTTTTTTTTTGGAAAGAGTATCGAAAATACTTCTAGATGATTATTTTACTAAATGTGTAATCCTTCTAAGATTCCGAAACTATGATGATTTAAATCTAATATATACATATACACATACTGGTTTCATATAGTTCTGCCGGTCCCCGACAAATTATTTATAATTTATTACCCATCTCTCCTTTCAATTGCCGTCCTTTTTTCTATGTATTTCATATAAAACATACATTAAAAACTTTATAAAAATAATTTCACAATTTACCACATGTTCTTCGCCATAGGTCAATTCCAAATTCGAATCAGATAATGCCTTTGCCTCGGTGTATGATTTCAATATAAAATCATGAATATTTATTGGAGCAGCCATGTGACGTCACTGAATTTGTTATATTTACAATTTATTTACTTAAATAATTTAACTTATTTACAATTAAATAGAGATAATCTCTAACACGATGTAATTCTTCACGGGATTAATACACAGCCTCCATCAGGGAAGTGACGCCGTTAACGTTAAGAATTGAGGACATATTATGAAAATGAGCGATGAAGTTGAGGAATCAAAACAAAAGGAAGAACATTAGAAATTAGGGGGTTAATGATCGAAACGGACATAAGGGATTTAAAAATCAATTTCTTTACTGCGTGCCAGCTGTTCAGTTGCTATAATTATCGATAAAACTATAAAGTAAAGCGGTGTTTACATCAGTGAATACTGCCTTACATGAGGTGGTTGGACGCATTGAGAAGAATATGGAGTCCTCCGGCTACACCTTGGAGCTTTCAATAATGTGAAGCTAGAGGCCATCCATTCTGCTCTCGTAAGCTCAGGTATCCCCTCACTTCTAACGGACTGGATTTATAGAATGCTAGAAAGCAGAATTATCAACTCAACCTTAGGAGAGAGACTTCCGTGAGGAAATCTGTCAACAGAGGCACACCACTGGGGGGAGTACTATCTTCTCTTCTGCGGCTTCTGGTAAATGAGATACCGCTCTTAAAATACCGCATCTTAAAATGAAGGTTTTAGCCTATGCTGATGATGTAGTCTTGCTGGTTGGTGGGAAATTTCTAATGATCGTTTCAGATATTATGGAGGGCGCCCTTTCAACACTGTGCAACTGCGCACACGAAACGTAAGATTCCTAGTTTAGCTTGCCATCTTTGGGAGGAGTGACCCTATCCCTTTCTGAAGAAGCAAAATACCTTGGTACAATCGTTGAACGCAAATTAACGTGGAATGAAAATGAACTCTTGATTAAATTGCAGGCTGCTAGATGTGCCCTGAGGCTCCGAGAAACGTATGCTTGGAAATCGCTGAACTATGGTCATGCCAGTATCCTCAACATAACACCCGGTTGTGATTTTTGGGGAGAAATGCCACACTAGTGATTATTTTCCCCCTCATAGAGATTTTAACGACATCAGAGTGGAGTTTCCTAGTAGGGAATCCTGGACTAGTGGCTCCTTATCAGGTCTGTCATTTTTCATGGACGGGTCAAAGATGGAGGCTGGCGTTTACTCTAGGGAATTAGAAATCTACAACTCATATAAATTTAACAATCTTCTTTCAAACAGAAATCCTTGCAAATTCGAAAGCGGCCAAGATAGTAAAAACACCTAATGCTAATAATACGAGACCGGTGACTATATATGTCGATAGTCAGGCGCCCCGTGGACTATAAACTCAAAGCAGTTCTTGATTGTAAGGCTGCTCTGTACGATATACGACGGGTAGTTAATTTATGTTGGATTCCAGGACATAGCAACATAGAAGGGAATGACATTTTCGACTAGCTTGCTTGAGGTGCTTCACAGTCGTTCAACATTCCGATTGAGAGATGTGTACAACCGCTCATTGGCTATTTCATTTGCAAAATCCGCTTGATCTACGGCGAGGTAGTCGGCAACAGATGGTCAAGAGAACCTGGTTGCAGAATTTCGAAAGCTATCTGGTCTGAATTTTCTCGCCGAGAGATCAAAATAATTGTGGGGATCATAACAGGTCCCTCACTTTGAAATGGGACTCAAACGGAGAGGATTACTGCCGTCTATGTGGGGACGAAGAGGAGCTGGATACAATTGAACATTTCCTCTGTAGATGTCCATCGCTGAGTGACAGAAGACACAAACAGTTTGGAAGATATGAAATTGATAACCTAGCTTTCTTCTCCAAAATAGACCCCAATCAGATCATAGGCTTGGACAAAAATTTGACATGGCTAAAATAACCACCTTCTAGGCTCTGCAACTTCAACTATTTTTCTTCTCTCCCATTCACTTTTCTTTTCAGGTATCAAGTATGATCACAATGGACAATTGTCTCTGAGTGAACTGTTGTAATAATCAATTACTGGCCAAATTTTATAATTTTCTTTGAATATCAACTGTTCTACGTCGAAGGCAACAATAATGTTATTTCATGAAACAAATTACACGAAATTATGAGTTCTAATGACGAGTTCCTCAGTTGAACAGTTTTTTAAAATTAATGTAGTGGAGAACTCGATCTAAGAACGCCTTCTTTCATATAATTTATTTCATGAGATAATTTGGAATTTTGTGTGGACTGAAACTAAACAGCTGTTCAAATAATACAAATCGATTTTTGATAACCAAAAATCCATTAGCACTTCCGACCTTTAAATCCCTACACATTTTGTTTTGATTCCCCACCTTCTTTTATGATCACATTCGACTTGTTTACGACGCCGTCATTTCTGCAGTCAATGACTTTGTTATTATAAGAAAAAAACCGTGCGTGCGGGAAAGTCGTAATTTGTGTTGATTTCTTAGTTTGGAGCTCTTGGAAATTTGTAGAAACTTAAGTAAAAACAACATGCCTGAAATTACAGAAATTGCCGATAGTGATGAAGAGTTTCAAGATGCTGTTGGTGATAACGAAACCGTGACAGCAAAACCAACAGCTGATGTCACTGCAAAGTCCAATGAAGCTATTGTTGATGAAATTATTAAACAGCAGGGTGATTTACATCTGAATGATGACGAGGAGGAGTCAGCTAGCTGTAGCAATAATGCCGATAAAGAAGCCAACACAGTTCCTGAATATCTACACGATGAAATCGATGAGGAAGCTCTGAAGGAAAAAGAAAAATCAATGACCGCCGAAGAATTGGAGGCGAACAAAGAAAAGGCCCAAAAAATGAAATTGGAAGCAAATGAGCTATTCAAAAATAATGAGTCAGAACGGGCCATTGATATCTACACGGAAGCATTGGGTATTTGTCCAACAACCTATACCAAAGATCGGGCGGTGTTGTATGGCAATAGAGCAGCTGCCAAAATTAAAATTGAAAATAAAAAATCCGCAATAGAAGATTGCACAAAAGCCATTGAACTCTGGCCCGAATATGTAAGGGCTTTGATGAGGTTAGTAGAACTCATTTTTATTTAACAAAATAAAAAGAAAAATTAACTGTTTTTGTTTTCCTTTTTAGACGTGCCAAACTCTATGAACATGATGATAAATTGGATGAAGCTTTGGCCGACTATAAACGAGCGTTTGAATTGGATCCAGGCCAAGGTGAGGCCCGAGAGGCCATGCTACGTTTACCGCCTCAAATTGAAGAGCGCAACGAACGTTTGAAGGAAGAAATGATGAGCAAACTGAAAGATTTGGGAAATATGATTTTGAAACCATTCGGTTTGTCCACATCCAATTTCCAAATGCAAAAAGATCCCACAACGGGGTCATATTCCATTAATTTTAATCAAAGTCCCAGCTAGAAAATATGGCAACATAGAGATGTGTCCAAAGATAACTACTATTATTAAATGTGTAATTATGTAAAAAACGATAAAGAGAACATATGTAAGAATTTTTACGATATTCGTTTTCAGCGATAGGGAGACACAAAGAGAGAGAGATTAGAGCGCAAATAGAGTTTGTGTTGTGATAAAAGCTTAAATAAATAACATTTACTTAATAAATGTATTCCTAGTGGAAAAACGTATATTAATTTATTTTAATTAAAACTATTGAATATTCGAATTCTGCAATATCTATTGTAAACATTTTAGCAAACTGAATTGTGTTTTGTTTAGTTTTAAAATGGAATCTGAAATTTGTATGTGTTTTGAAAATATTGTTTACAGCTTTTTATATTGTATGAATATCAATTTTGAATTTCAATTCAATATATTATAAACGTATTCAGAATATATTTCTTTATTAATAAATAAATGCATTAACTTAAGGATATAGAAAATGGCCTTTGAAAGTTATTTTTGTACAGAAAACAATTGAGAGGGAGTTTTTTTTATAAAAATATTTTGCTTGACCAGAATAGAAATTCTGAATGCTATCGAGGACTAACATTAAAAAAAAACATTGACTATCAAAAAGGCGTGGATTTTTTTCAAGGCGTAGATTTTTGAAAAAAATACTTTTTAAAGGCGTAGATTTTTGAAAAAAAATACTTTTTAAAGGCGTAGATTTTTGAAAAAAATACTTTTTAAAGGCGTAGATTTTTAAAAAAATGTTTTTTTCAAGGCGTAGATTTTTTAAAAAATGTTTTTTAAGGCGTAGATTTTTTAAAAAAAAAAATTAAGGCATAGATTTTTATAAAAAAAATTTTAAGGCGTAGATTCTTAAAAAAATTTTAAGGCATAGATTTTTATAAAAAAAATGCAAGGCGTTGATTCTTAAAAAATTGTTAAGGCATAGATTTAAAAAAAAAATTAAGGCATCATTTAAAAAAAAAACAAAAATTATTGAAAATTTTTTTCCAAAAATCGTAGATTTTTGAAAAAATATTTTTTTTGAAGATTTTTTAAGGCAAATGTTTTATGTAAGGCATAGATTTTTAAAAAATATTTTTTCAAGGCGTAGATTTTTAAAAAAAAAATATTTTCAAGGCATTAAATTTTTAAAAAAATATATTTTCAAGCGTGGATTTTTTTAAAAAATATATTTTCAAGGCGTAGATTTTTAAAAAATTATTTTTTCAAGGCGTAGATTTTTAAAAAATATTTTTTTCAAGGCGTAGATTTTTAAAAAATATTTTTTTCAAGGCGTAGATTTTTTAAAAAAAAATTTGTAAAAAATATTTTTTTCAAGGCGTAGTTTAAAAAAAAATTAAGGCGTACATTAAAAAAAATTTAAGGCATAGATTTTTATAAAAAAAATTTAAGGCGTAGATTTAAAAAAAATTAAGGCATAGATTTTTATAAAAAAAAATTTTAGGCGTAGATTTTTTAAAAAACATTAAGGCATAGATTTTTAAAAAAAATTAAGGCATATATTTTTGAAAAATGTTTTTTTCAAGGCGTAGATTTTTTAAAAAAAAAATTTTTTTTCAAGTCGTAGATATTTTAAAAAAAATTAAGTTATAGATTTAAAAAAAATTTAAGGCATAGATTTTTTAAAAAAATTTTTTCCAAGGCGTAGATTTTTAAAAAAAATGTTTTTTAAGGCATAGATTAAAAAAAAAAAAATGTAAAAAAATAAGGCAAAGATTTAAAAAAAAATTAAGGCATAGATTTTTGAAAAAAAAATTTAAAATATGTTTTTTCAAGGCGTCGTTTTTTAAAAAAATATTTTTTTCAAGTTCAAATAAACGTAAATTTTTAAAACAAATTTTTTTTCAAGTTCTAAAAAGGCGTAGATAAAAAGGCCTAGAAATTCGAACTAAACTTTTTCTGAATCAGTAGTAGTGATGGTACCATGACACAATGAATAGGTAGTCCATTTAGCGCAGCTGATGTCGATGTGCAGTGTCGCCAACCATTTGCAACATTATAAGGGAAAATTTGACAGATAATCGAGACAAAAACAAATGTTTTTGTTTTGACAACATCACCTTATTATTGCATTATGGAAGGTACCCACATTAATGTGTAGCGGCATCCTCTCTCAATTTTGTATTGCCAATCACAATTGTGAATAATGTGTAGAGTTGCCAATGATATATGAATTGGTTTTCTGTTCGGTTACATCGCTTTGCTTATTTTTGATTGCTATTTCTTATTTTGGGTTAAGAGCTGCGCTTACTTTTGATGACAAGTGGGTGATGGGATAAATAATTGTAATAAATCTGCTTACGTAATATTTGAAGTACACCTTTTATTTAAAAAATGTTAAAAAAAAGTGTGGATTCTTTTAAATATTTTTAATAACCACAGAAGAGCGAATTAAAAATATATTTTTTAGTAACGACCCATTTTTTAATATTTTTTGTAATAACCAGAGATGAGCAATTTTTAATATTTCCAAAAACCATAGAAAGTATAATTTTTAAAGAAACTTTTTTTAAAACATTTTTTTTAAATATCAAACGTCAAGGGTATTAAAAATGTCAATACAAAACATGTGCAGAAATGTTTCAAAAAAATATATATATTCTCAATAACAAATCGACGAATAATTTTAAAATAATTAAATAACTTAATTTTTCAAATGGTTTTTATTAATATAATAAACTTGACGCCACGCTCAACGCTTCTAAAGCAACCTGCCCACCGTCCAAGAACGACCAACAACAAATACCTTTACACAAATTGTTCCGCCTTGCCAACACCATTTAAATTCTCCAAACATCTGGACGTTGATGGCCTATGGCAAAGCAAAATGTTCGTTCACATCGCAGTCATTTCGTAGCAGTGAGTCGTGAACGGGTGTGTTTTAAGAGATCAAAACTACAACGCGCTGCGTGACACAAAACAAGAAGAATTTTTTCCCAACACTTTGAAGAAAAAAGTGTTGTACAAAATTCAGTGCAAAAATTTCAATTGAAAATGTAATTAAATTAAACGAAATTTATATGCAAATGCTAGAGTGTTTTGTGCTGATTAATAATTGATAAAAATTTCCAATAAATTCTCATTAATTGATGGCGATTTTTGTGAAAACATGAATATTTGCAAAAAAAAATCGAATAAGAAAAAATTTGTGGAAAAAGAAATAGAATGAAAAAAATGTAGAATTCCTATATAGAGAGATATACATATATGCGGATGTGTGTTCTGTGTAGTAGGGTCGGTCGTTCGGTCGTTTTGGGGTGCGTGTATGTGTGTGTGGCTGAATGTTGTGCGTGTGTGTGCTGCGATATTTGGGTGTGCTGGAGAGCGAGTAATGCAAGTGTGTGTGTATTTTGTGTCGTCGTCGCTGTGTATACGTGAAAAATTTCTTTACAACACCCTACCCTTGATTAAAATAAAAAAAAAAAACAAGAAAAAGAATTAAACAAGTAAACCAATAACAACACCCAACCAAAACATCAATGACAAGCAGTACAATAACAACAAAACCCTATAATGACAACGACAACAACTACATCAACATTCAATAGTGTGTCAAGTGTAGAGTGCTGGCTAGATGGCTATTTTGAAAAAAATTATTCATGTTTGTTTTTGTTGTTTAAATACAAAAAAATCATTACTATTATTATTATTCTGCTCAGTTATTTGTTTGTTTGCTAATTGTTTATAAAAATACAAGAAAAGAAAGCAACGATTGTAATATTGATATTTTAATTATTGATTTCTACCAAAATTCCAGTTTTGTTTATTTAACGCCTTAAACGATAACTAATTCCCCCGTAAAAAAATAAACATCAAGTGTGATACACCCTTTATTAGTATTGCCATCTAGAAAAACAAGTGTTTTTGGTTCCTTTTCCCCGAGTGTTTTTTTTTTGTTTCCTATTTCCTATTTACAGGAATTCAACCCATTTGTTTTTTTTTGTGTTTTGGTTTGTTCGGGAATTACTATCAACATTTGTTGTTGCTCCCGTTGTTTTGTTTTCGTTTTTCTCCACACAGTTACGACTCTCCGCTGTGGAGAGCGCACACACGAACATTGTTTTCTCTTTTGAATATATCATCTTAGCTCTGTGTATTGTTGCTCACTTCACATTTAAGCCTAGTGTTGTGTTCAGTGTTGCCAACTATTCAATGTGATGAAAAACGCTATATTTTGCCAACAAAGGGGTTTAATGTGCGATTTTGAGACATGCAGTAAATTATAGACTGTGGAACCGGCATTTACATCCAAAGGACGGAAAAATAAAGGAATCTTATCAAATAAATAGAGAAAATAAAATAATTAATTAAAATAATTAATAAATGCTGACAGTAGTGATAATTATTCCCATTCTATGTAAACAATACATTTATATTTTTGAAGATTTTTAAATTAAAAAAAAATAATTAATTAAAAAATATAAAAAGCTGTGGAATTTGTATAAATAGTAATGTTAAAAAATCGAAGTTAAAAAAATATACGAGAAAAAATATTTCGTAAATCAACACGACATTCAAAATTCCTCAATCGTTAAGGACTTTCATATAAAAATTATTGCATTGAAAAATTGATCTGTTCCCGCATCCTATATGGATGCCAAAAATGCATCTACATTATAACTTTTTGCCGGATTAACCTTCTCTATGGGGATTTATTTGTCAATTTGACCTGTAAAGTACCTTAAATCGTTCGAATAGCCATAGTCAAAAAACAAATACAAAAGTATTTTGTCACCCTCCAAGCTAAAAGGTTTTAAAATTAAAATGGAGATTCTACCAACGCCTGGATTGTAATATATTTTTTTCATTTCAATAGCAAATTTAAAATATTGTAGGCTTAATCGTGATTCGAACGGCTAACACGACGGAAAGTGCGAAATCGATAATTTTATTCTGATGAAAAATATATACATTTATGGTATTTACGACGAAAATTTTGAGTTATGGCAATCTTAATTTTTTTTCCAAAAATCCAACCTTCTCTT